TTGGGCTGGTTAACGTTGCTCCTGCCACACCCCTGCTGCTTGCTCGGAATCTTCCGCACACAGCGCCAGGCACTGCATTGGGTACCAGGTCAGTACCGCATATGGAGTAGCCCCGGTTCACTGAGTGCATGGGGGCGGGGGTCCTTCCAAAGAGCTGGGTTGGAGCCTGGCTGGGCTGGCCTCTGCCCCACAGACAGTGGCTGCTGTCCTGGTGGGTTGAATAAACTTGATTCTTTCTCAGCAGTTTGATTGAGAAAATTGGAGACACTGGGTCTGGGAGGTCCAGAGGAAGAGAGGGCATGGGGGACCCCGTGGCTGCATGTGAGGAGAAGGCTGGGAGGCAGAGCCAGGAGATTTTCAAATTGTGGCCATTGTAGAAAATTGGGCAAAGTAGAGGAGTCGCCCCTCCCTCTGCTTTTCCTCCTCCGCTGAGCTCCCTGCAGGAACTTCAGCGACCCCAGTGCTCTAGGGTTCTGTGGGTCCTGATAGCAGATGTCTAAGGAGACAGTCCCTTTGCATACCCTGTGGTGCTCATAGCACTCAGAGATAGAGGCCTGTGGGAGAGAGCTTTACTTGGGTGCCTTAGCTCTGAGAAAGGCCAGTCTTAGACTGTGTTATTGTGCTTTGCTCGTGAGTTTTTATCCACTAAATGACAAGTGACACTTATGAATTACTAAGCACTTTTAATAGAGTAAAAGTATGTGATTTCTATATAATATGACGAGTTAAAAGCATTGGAAATTTTTTGGGGCGCCTGGGTGGCTCAGTTGATTAAGCTTCTGACTCTTGATTTTGGCTCAGTTCGTGAATTGAGCCCTTGTGTTGGGCACTGGGCATGAAACCTGCTTAAGATTCTCTCTCCCTCTGCAGTCCCTGTTCACGTTCTCTCTAAAAAAAAAAAAGAAAGAAAGAAAGAAAAAGAAAAAAATTGGGCAAAGCTGTGGAGATATATTTTATTTTTTTGTGTAAGTGTTCATTGTTGTAGGGGCAGAGGGGCAGAGAGAGAAGGAGACAGAGGACCTGAAGCGGGCTCTGGGCTGTCAGCACAGAGCCTGATATGGGGCTCACACTCACAAACCCGGAGATCATGGCCTGAGCCAAAGTCGGACATTCAACCGACTGAGCCACCCAGGTGCCCCATGACATATTTTAAGTAATGTTGAAATATGTGTAAGTAGAAACTTTGGGGACTAGTTGTATTCCAAGTACTGATTTTGTCGTTGCTCTAAATGAAAAGTGACATTGGGTTTTCATGTAGCAGAGACATCTTGAAGACCTTCGGCTCTGGTTGAGGGCATTTCCTAGTTTAAATAGAAGAAGTGTCAGGTTAGTGGAAAACAGTAAGCATTTGTGTTGAATTTTTAAAACTGTATTTTGAGATGCTTATAGATTCATATACCGTTATAAGAAATAATACAGAGAAATCCTATAGATCCTTCACCCAGATTTCCCCAGTGGTAGCTCCTGATTAAAAATAGAGTCTAAGCAGAAGATTGCATCTATTTGACCCACTCACCTTACTCACATGGCATGTTTTACAATCTGCCATTTCTGTCACGTGTTGATTCCTGTGGCCACCAGCGCCATCAAGACACAGACCATTTCTATCCCACGGGGTCCCTCCTCCCTCTTCCCTGACAGCCACTCCATCTCTACAGTTAGTCCCTGAACAGTGCTGTACGTGGAATTGTAGGGTGTGTGGGATCAGCCCACCTTGCAGCCTTGAGGTCCACCCAGGTTGTATCAGTGACTCAAGGTATAGAAATTCTAGGAATTTGTTGTAAAAATATAATAAATCAAAAGTGTCATTTTTATAATTAAAAACAATAATAACAAAATAGCACTAGAGCTAAAAAAGTTTATTATTTACTCAAGAAAAAGCATGCTATAATTTAGTAGTTTACAGGATTTGGTAGCCAAGTTTAAAGGTAAGATGAAATGAATTTATGAAAAAGTGATTGATGTTTTCAGAGTCTGTAAATAATTTCAGTGTCATGTCCACATGTCCATGACTTGAGCTTATTTGAGTGGAAATATTAGTATGACCACAATTAAAGTTCTCAATAATTTCTCGTAAAAATTAATAGTCCTTTATGTGTCATAGGGTAGAGTTATAACTATTTAATTTCAAGAATTTGTTTGAGGAAGGAACCAGAAATGAATGAAGGGGTGTTTGTTGTTCACACACAGACTGTGTGGCAGGTTATTTGTCTGAAGTTTGAAATCCATAAAAGAATCATTTTTTGAGATCTTTTAGGGAAAATGGGAAACATTAGCAAAGCATCAGAAATGTCTGTCTTGGTTCTGAAAATACTAGAAAAGCATGTATTTATCAACATTGAATTCTTTCTCTCCCCTGGAACAATAGAAGTTCAGCAGTGAAATGAGTTATTAAAATAACAGATTAACTATCTTGCCAGGCACTACTGAGATTGGGTAATCATTTATTTATTTTTAAGGTGGTAACGCTTACTTAAGTTGTATTAAAGCTGTAACAAAGGGGCACTTGGGCGGAGCATCCATCAGACTCTTGATTTCGACTCAGGTCATGACCTTGAGATTTGTGGTATCAAGTCCCCGCCTCTGCACTGGCCTCTGCACTGACCGGGAGTACCCTGCTTGGGATTGTCTCCCTCCCTCTCTCTGTGCCCCTCCCCCTCCCCACCTCATGCGCATGCGCGTGTGCACTCTCACGCTCTAAATAAACATTAAAAAAAATTGTAATATAAAGTTGGGTAATTTAGACAGCACATTGTCACTTATCCTAACAAGTTAGGGGAAAAAGTGTAGGTAAATAAATTCTCTGTGACGTTACAAACTGATGTATCGAAGAATGTATTGAAATTGAACAGTTTCCTGACTTTATAACCAGAATATTGAGGTAGAATGTAGTTTTTTCTTGGTGACTTTTGATGGGTAGGTTTCCCTGCTGTCCTCCAATAGTGGTATTTTTGGTGTCTACGGAAAGGTGTAGTTCAGTCCTCACCAGACTCCCTGGGCTGCTAGTCTTTGCCAGGTTCTTGTGCTGGTTTTTCAGAAGCTCTGTTTTATCTCCACTTTCTATTGGCTGTCATTTTTGGTTTGGAATTTTCTGCCTAGATAAGCCACACTCTCATTTTTTCTCCATCTGATCTGCTTTGCCTGGGAAACCAGAATAAACTTGTTAGAATTGGGATTACTAGTAAAACTGAGGTATAGATACTTGTTTTAGTAAACACTTTAATGATTAGTTTATATTAATATTTTGTTTTCTTTAATTTTTTTAATGTTTATGTCTGAGAGAAAGAGAGAGAGCACAAGCAGGGAAGGGGCAGAAGGAGAGGGAGACACAGAATCCGAAGCAGGCCCCAGGCTCTGAGCTGTCAGCAAAGAGCCCGACACGGGACTTGAACCCACAAACTGAGATCGTGACCTGAGCCCAAGTTGGACGCTCAACTGACTGAGCCACCCAGGCACCCCTGATATTTTGTTTTCTTTAAACTGTAAGTCTTGTGTAAATGGTAGGTTTGGTTTTTTTCTTAAATGTTTATTTTGGAGAAAGAGAGCACACAGGAGAGCATGTGGGGGAGGGGTGGAGAGAATCCCAAGCAGGCTCAGCACTGTCAGCGCAGAGCCCAGCTCAGGGGCTCAAACCCATGGACCGTGAGATAATGGCCTGAGCTGAAATCAAGTGTCAGATGCTTAACTGACTGAGCCACCCCGTGTTTTTTCTTTTTTGACGTAACTACTGGTACCCAGAGATCTAGTTGCCAGGTTCAGTGGTGTTTTTAGGGTGTGTCTCTCTTGCGTGTCTTGTGTTTTATTATCTCTTCCTTCTTTGCTCTGTATTTCCTACCTTTGGAGTCATTGCTTCGTTGTGACCTTGCTAACACCTGTAGCAGCTTGTACCTGCTCCTTGATGACTCTGTCCACTGGAAGATGCAGTCCTGTTCTTCGAGTGTGATCTGGGCACCGCAGCCGCAGCACCCCCTGCTGCCTGCACCAAAGCCTTCACCTCATCACGGCCAGGGTCCTGTGTGTGCTTCACTTGCTGGGGTAGTCATACAGGTGCTTGGGCTCTTCCTGAAGAGAGGAAGAGAAGGAGGCTGAATTTGGGAGATAGAAAGTGCTTGAACATTTAGTAAAACCCTAGTGATCCAGACATGATTGTGTTTTGTGATTTTCTTTTTCTGTGTTTGACATCTTGTTAGCATTAAACTGTGACTTTGGAAATTTGGCAGAATTCCAAATGATTTTGGAAAGAAAACAGTACAGTAAGCTAGTAGCAGCTCAGACAGTTTTATTTCAGAAATGACGTGGAGCGTGTTTCCTCCAGGCAGTTCACTGATCTGTGATAGGGGAGTTGATGGTGTTTTCTGGCCTTAAATACTTGGATCCTCTTTTTTTTTTTTTTTTTTTTTTTTTTAAGAGAGAGAGCATGAGCAGGGGAGAGGAGCAGAGGAGCAGAGAGAGAGAGTCTTAAGCAGGCTCCACACTCAGCATGGAGTCCATTGCAGGGCTCGATCTCTTGACTCTGGGATCATGACCTGAGCCAAATTCAAGAGTTGGTTGCTTAACCGACTAGCCACCCAGGTGCCCCAATACATGGATCTCCTTAAGTAGAATTGGTTTTTGTCTTTGGCACATGGTATTGTCTATTGGCACAATAGATAAACGAAGCTGATTTTTCTTTAAAAATATTGCCTTTAATTTCAATGTAACCTTTAGTCTCAAGTCTTTACCAGGCCTTATACTTTAACATTTAGTATTCGATTTTAATCCAGGTGTGATGAATAGTTCAGGTATTAATATTTATCTAGGAAAAATAACATCTTCAAAAAAGTGATAGTTTTTTGGATGTAATTATTTAATACTTTAACTCTGATCTCAATAGTAACGAATCATTGTTCAACTATATGTAGCAATAAATCTCTTTTTCAGCTGAAGATGTGTATCTAAAATGCAAGTTCAGCTGAGCAGGAACCTTATGACGGCCTTGCCCTGCCCTCTAAAACTGGATCATGAAGGTGCTGGGAAGAAATTACTTCTGGGTGTTGCTTCCACTGCTTCGCTTGATGGCAGATTCTGCGGAACATGAAGAGGTGGCAAAACATGCCATCAAATTGCACCGAGGGAAAGGGGCGGCTATCACTCAGAGGAAGCAGTGGGTCCTCGATGGTTGCAGGAAGCTCTCCGGGCTTCTTCGCCAAAAGACTGTGGTTCTTAACAAACTGAAAAGTGCAATCAGAGCCGTAGAAAAAGACGTTAGCCTGTCAGATGAAGAGAAGCTGTTTCAGGTGCATACGTTTGAAATTTTCCAAAAAGAGCTGAATGAAAGTGAAAATTCAGTGTTCCAGGCCATCTATGGACTGCAGAGAGCCCTGCAAGGAGATTACAGAGATGTTGTGAACATGAAGGAGAGCAGCAGGCAGCGCCTGGAGGCACTGAGAGAGGCTGCGATTAAGGTCAGTCTTGTCCCACCCTGAGCCAAGGAGCAGGTCAAGTAGAGGTCAAGGGAGAAGGCAGCTGGTGCTGATGCTTCAGCAGGTGTAGTCTGGCAGGGGCATCCATTCTCAGCAGTGCACACGTGGATTTCCCCTCCTTGTGCACCGTATCTTAGCACAGTTGCATTTCACCACTTCTGGGAGTGCCAATGCTTTTCTGTGTTGAGATCACAAGGTAATTATACTAGTTACTCAAGTTATCCCAATAAGCTGATGTGTATGAAGTATGTGGTAAATATACTTGTAACTGCAGTCAACATTTTGAGTTTCTGACAAGAATGCCTTTTGGCGTGAAGGTTGGCTGTCTTTAATGCCCATCTACTGAAAACAAAAATACTAAAATTAGTTTTAATATATACTTTTGAAATAAGGATCGTGATGAAATACACTTTTAAAATGAGATAAAACTATTACTATACCAGATGTGATATTATTTATATATATATTTTTTAATGTTTATTTTTAGAGACAGAGACAGAACACAAGCAGGGGAGGGCAGAGAGAGAAGGAGACAGAATCTGAAGCAGGCTCCAGGCTCCGAGCTGTCAGCACAGAGCCCGACACGGGGCTCTAACTCACGAACCATGAGATCAGGACCTGAGCCAAAGTCGGATGCTTAACCGACTGAGCCACCCAGGCGTCCCTAAACTCCTTTGTTTTAAAGAATAGTGGTATTGATTTGAGGTAGTTTTACAATAAAATAGAGAACTAACATGCATTGAGTGATGTTGATCCAAATATGTATGCTTTCTACATGCAGTTTTTGCCTCACATCTCAGGCTAGGTTCTGGGAGGTCACAGCTACGAGAGAGGGGTTGGGTGGTGTTGCCTAGAGAGAGGTCTGTCAAACAGTTACACTTCTCCTTGGGACTGTCTTGCTGCTTCTCTGTTCTAGCTATGCCCCACCCCTTTAAACTATGAACATATACTTTAATAGTAAGGATGTTGATTTGATTGATAGCTTGAGTTTAAATATGATGGTATAAAACGCAGTGGTATTATTGACACCATCCATCAGTTTTCCAAGTAATGCGGTCAGATTCTTCTGGAACAGTTTTTCCTCTGTAACTTGGAATTTGTGTGTATCCTACTTAGAAATTTTTAGCTCAAGAATCAAGTATCACAGGTGTTTTTAGAGTACAGCTGGACCTCCATACACAGTAGGCATGATGTCTGGAATAAAATCTGTTCAGTGAGGATTGTGTATGAATAGTTGACCTTCAGAATTTATCAACAGTAGTAGATTACGTTTGATGACGCATGTGTACAAATAGGCTTCCCTAAGCATTTTGCTAAGCTCCATCATGTTTGGGTGATACAGGACACTTGACCTTCTCTCCTTGACTGGAGCTAGCATTACACGTTTATAAATGTATTTGACAGCAAGAGCATGTTGGCTTGCATGGTCCAGCCAGGCCAGGCACCTGAATGAAGTCCTGGTGTGGCCTATTTCTTAATAAACCCCACACTTCATTTCTCACCAATAAACAGGAAGAGACAGAATATGTGGAACTTCTGGCAGCAGAAAAACACCAAGTTGAAGCCCTCAAAAATATGCAACATCAAAACAAAAGTTTATCCATGCTTGATGAAATTCTTGAAGATGTGAGAAAGGCAGCCGATCGCCTAGAGGAAGAGATGGAAGAACATGCTTTTGATGACAATAAATCAGTAAGTAGCATTCCAGAACAATCTCCTCTTTGCTCGGGCTGCTTGCCGAGAGAAAGTATGGTGGAATTTATCGGCTGTTTTCCGTGTGGACTGACGATGGAGATAAAACCAAACACTTTCGTATCCCAGAGACCGATTTGGTTCGGTTACACAGAAGAAGTACACTATACACCTATCGTTTTGCCTTATGTTTTTGTCAGTGCCCCCCAGGGGCTCATGTCTGCGCCCCACTTCCGTGTTCAGGTGGATTGAGACTCTGGGCTCCAGAAAGTGTGCCCTGGGATAGTCAGGTGTCGGTGCTGTTCTGCCCGGGGGAGCCATATGCTCCTGAGATGAATCGTGTCTGAGGCAGGCATTCGGACTCCCCACTTGCTGTGACGTGTTTAGATTCTCTGGGAAGGACGAGATAAGTGCCGAAAACGGACTGTGAGTCCTGAGGACTCAGAAAAGGATGCGGCAATTAGAGCAAAGGCGAGTGCAGTTCGGGGCGGATGAGCACTGAGCGAGGCTGTCCTGAGCGTGTCCGTGGTGCCAGGGGAGGACACGGGGCTGTCTTTTGAAGGTGGTGCTCTTTCTTCACTGCTTACCGAGTGCTCGTGCGTCAGGGCGTCAGGCTGTCGCCGCTGCAGCTTTTCCAGTGCAGCTCCACCGCTGTTGGCTCAGGATCCCCGCGGGTCCCACGGGCGAGGGCTTGGCCCAGCACTGCACCCTCTGCTCCAGGCACTGATAATGGGCTCTGGGTTTTCACCTCGGAGGGTCCCACGACCCCTCCTCAGGCTCTCAGAACCCAGGAAGACCATCTGTTTGCCAGGTTACCAGGTCGCTGCAAAGGGTGCAGTCAGAAACAGCCGGGTAGAAGAGGTGAAAGCATGTGTGCAGGGCACTGCGTCCTGTCCGGGCCCGCTGCCCTCCTGGCAGGGCGCGTCCATGTGTCAGGCACCCGGAAGCTCCCCGAACCCCGTGCTCCAAGCATGTCCCGGAGCTGCCTTGTGCAGGCTCGCGATTAGCTTCACCTCCGGCCCCTCCCTGCCCCGAGGTCACGTGGCTGCTGTTCCTGGTGACCAGCCTCACCCTGCAGTCATCTAGTGGCTTTCTGAACGTCACCTTGCTGGCACAAACTCAGGAGAGGCCGTGAAGGGCTTGTCGGGTGTACCCGTTGCTCCTTATGCTTGGGGAGGCCATGCTGGTTGTGGGGCTGCGGGCCAGGAAGGGGGGTGAAGACCAAACGTATGTTTCTTGTTACAGATCGTACCCTAAATCATTAAAGTGGGTGTCTGGACGTAATAGAAATCCTAAACGCCTTCATTCTCAGATGGCCCTTGTAACTGAAGCAGCTTTCCTGATTTGTGCTAATGAACATCTGTGGACCTTTCGTCATACCTGACAGAGTGCTAGAAATACTTCTATCGCTCTTCTGTACAGAATTTACGCTCTAAAAATTGAACTTGAAAACATTTCATGGGTTTAATTACATGATGTTGGTTATTTTTACAGGTGAAAGGGGTCAATTTTGAGGCAGTTCTCAGAGTGGAGGAAGAAGATGCCAATTCCAAACAAAACCTCACAAAGCGGGAAGCGGAGGATGATTTGGGTCTTAGCATGCTGATCGACTCCCAGAACAACCGCTATATCTTGACCAAGCCCAGAGACGCGACAATTCCACGTGCAGATCGCCACTTCCTAAAGGTAGTCTGTCTGCTTGCTCCCCTCTTGAAGTCCCCTCTCCCACCTTCCCACTTCCAGGTACTAATGTAAAGTAAGCTTTATTTTCTGAGCCTCATATTAGGATGCATGACCTTCCTCCTAACAGAGAGATTCTACTAGAATTTCCTATATTTTCCATGACTTGAAACACTTTCTCTTAATTTTTAATTTTTTCCGAACAGAACGAGGCATTTTAATACTTAGAATGAAAATTAATGTTGCTTTTGAGAATTTGGAAGCCTTTTTGAAGTCAGGAGTCCCTACAGTGGGCTCAAACTTTGTCACTAACATGGAACATCTGATGAGGTGGAGAAGCTTTGGCTAAGGTATCATCTGTGTAGACACGGGTACAGGATGAGATCCGGCTCCTCCAGAGGTGACTGACATTCCAGACCGAGTTAGCCACGCATCTGCTCCCTCTGAGGCAGCAAGTCTAATAAGAGGATGTGGAGTTATGTAAAGATTCGCAATCGACTGTGTTCTGGTTGGAGATCACTGTTTGGGTTTGGACCAGAGTGGGTAACAGCTGTAGGAGTGGCCAATGTGGCCTGCTCGGAAGGCTAGTGGGGTCTGGACACCCTGTCGGGGCTCCAGCAGCATTCCCGAAGCCACAGCTTGTGCTGGTCTTAAAGAGGTGGGCAGCGCAGGCCGAGAGGAAGGATGCTCCCAGTGGCTGATTACTGTACCAATAAACTCAAAGCAGGAAGATCGGCCCAGGGATAGCCTTCCTTTTTTACCACCAAAGTGGAAACTGGGAGGGGCCTAGTCTGCAGAATGTCTGCTTTCTCCAGTAATCAACCCTTTTCTTGCCAACTGTTACCTTAAATTTTTGTGTTTATTTCTGGTTTATTCTCCATTAGGACATTGTTACCATAGGAATGCTGTCTTTACCTTGTGGCTGGCTGTGCACGATGATAGGGTTGCCCACAATGTTTGGTTATATTGTTTGTGGCGTACTTCTGGGACCTTCAGGACTGAACAGTATTAAGGTAAGAGCAACTGTTTTAGTATCTGTTTAACAAAATACTAAAGAAATGCTCATGAAGACCTAAAAGTTTTGAACTTGAATTAATAAAGATAGCATTTCCTTATAAACCATATTAAAGAAGATGCTCTTTAGAGTTTCATAAGAAATTCCTAAATCATAAGAAAGTAATTTTGTTAGTGAATGGATGACTTAACTAGAGAAGAAATCCCGTTTATGTCTTTATTTTTTTAATTAAAAAAAAGTTTTTTAAATGTTTATTTTTTTGAGAGAGACAGAGAGCATGAGTAGGGGAGGGGCAGAGAGAGAGGGAGACACAGAATCTGAAGCAGGCTCCAGGCTCCGAGCTGTCAGCACAGATCCTGACACGGGGATTAAACTTGTGAACTGCGAGATCATGACCTGAGGGGAAGCTGGCCGCTTAACCGACTGAGCCACCCAGGGTGCGACAACCCCCCGCTCTGTTCATGTCTTTAAACTGTTAGTTTTTAAAAATTCTGTTTCCAGTAATAATGATGGATTATGTTATTCAGACACTGAAAGCAACAAAAAATGCTGGGTTAAATGTATAATTTAAAATTTTTTAAAACATTGCAAAGCTAGTAAAGTAGTGGGGATTTTCAAGCCTAAATGTAGGATAATGTGAAAACCCCAGGACGTAGTGAGTGCTGAGGCTGTTGGCTGAACAGAGTGAAGTGACTTTCATCCTATATCGATGGCACTTGTTGGCAGTGAGGAACAGTTCCAAAGCTTTTGTGGGCTCCAAGATGTGTCCTGTAAATACGCACAATTCAGACGAAATGAAGAGATTGGCAAGAATAGGTGATGTGTCATATATCCAACACAGAAGCAGTGGTGCAGGTACTGGGAAACACACACGGGAGTCCTGGCACTTCCTAGTTGGGTACGACAGGAGCAGACGGATGGGGGGAAGTGTGGGCATGTGCTCGCAGCCTCACCCTCCTGCTGACGGGCACACCTTGTACCGGGCAGGAAACATCATCATCTCTAACTGAACTCAACAACACGTTCAACTGGCAGGGGCTACCGGCTGAAAGCCCAGGACCTTAGTGAGCAGGTGACCGCTGACTGACATGGGGTGGGGGGTGCTCTTGTGGGCTGGGCTCAACCTGGTGGGGTGGTCTCTGGGAAACACTGTTTTAATTCAATTTTCTGAATTCGTAATCTCTATACAGTTGAGAACAAAATGGTGTAAGTACAAAAAATTTTAAGTTGTAGGTGGAGAATCTCTGTCTTGTCCTGTCCCATCCCTCCCTTTCCAGAGTATTTATGAACAATAGCAAATACAAACGTATTTTCCTTTTTTCTTCAGAGCAAAGGTTGCTTATAAGCCAAGAATTCAGGCTGAATAATAATAGAGGCTGAATAAGGTAATAAATACAACTGGAAGCTACCAATATTATAGTTCCTAACAAATTTGCTGTATCTTGGTAAATAACATAATTACAGTAAACCAGGATGAAGACCCAAGAGCATATTAGCCAAAACGGGAGGTGGTTAATGGAGGAAGTGTGGCTGTACCAAAATATTTACCTTTTCCTAGTAGGAAGTTAATAGGCTTCTGTGTTACGTTGAGAAGTGCAGATTTAGGTATGTGACTTTCAAGTCATGAGTTTCAGCCTCATTTTAAAAAGGGAAGAAAAATAAAAGCAGTGAGGAAGTATAAAAACCAGGAGACGAAGGAGTAAGAGAAATCTTCTGTTATCACAATGAATATAAGTGGAATAAACTTGCCTGTGGAAAGATACAGGTTTGCAGATGATGTTAGGAAAAAGATGTACAGTAAGCAAGGTTCAAAGGGAACAGAATGAGTAAGTGAGGAGGCAGATGCCAGCAAATGGAGGGCAGGGCCTGTCCTCTCGGTGGCTGACAGGGTGCGTGTGCGTCCCTGCACAGCAGCTTGGTGCCTGGACATGAGGAGATCTGCTTGCTCTCTTCTTTCAGACGCTGAGTTCGTGGCTCAGTGGAAACCATGAGTGTAGATGATCTAGGGAGTACCAAATATAACCGTGTAAACAGCATTCTCTGCCATAACATAAAAGCATAAAAACAAACAGCAGATAAAGGACCAGAACCAACACAGCGCACAAGAACGCTGTATACCAGAACCTGTGGGATGTGGCCAATTCGGTTCTCAGGAAAGAAGTTTGTACACATAGTCATGCACAGGCCCGTGCTGGCAGGCCAAAGGAAAGTGGGGCATCTTGATTAAAATGTCCAGCTCAGGTTCAGTGCCTCCCCATCCTCCAGAGAAAGTGAAGGAAGGAGGTAATGAAGAGCGCAGCCTGGAAACAGGTGAATTCGTGAGCTAGTTCTCAGAAAAAGAGATAAAAACAGTCCTTCAGCTAATCAAGAAAAAGGAAAAAAAAAAACGTATAATCAGGAAGTTCAAGCTATGTCAGGGATAGAGGACATTCAGAGAACTAGTTTTAAAAAAAATACTGTGTTTTTTTTTTTGTTTTTTTTTTTTTAGGATAGTTCCACTGAGTACGTTAGTACAAGATTGTTCCTTGAAGTATGCTTCATTTGTTAGATACATTAAATTGTGTGGTTTTAAAATTTTGTTCCCAGTCTGTTGTGCAGGTGGAGACCTTAGGAGAGGTTGGCGTGTTCTTTACTCTGTTTCTTGTTGGCCTAGAGTTCTCTCCAGAAAGGCTGAGAAAGGTAAGGGCCTCACCAAGCTGTGTTATCGCCCCCAATTTAAACATCATGTGGTTTTAATTTATTTACTTTGTGTTTGTTCATGATTGGACTATCAAGTTAAGTATTTTAGAACAGAATATTCTTTTTATTTTTGGAATATAAATTCTAAAAGATAAAAAATACTAGAAAATGCAAATTCAATGAATGAGTAAAATTAGCTTTCATGTAGCTAATTCCAGAAAAGGTCTGAGAAATGATATGTTTGAAATTTAACATGTGGGGGTCCCTCCAAAAAGGTCCACAACCGTTAGAGGCTGAACTATCTCAGGGATTGAATGTTTGTGTAAAATGAAAATATGTAAAAGACTTGTAGCAGTTAGGACCATGTGTATGAAGAAGTGTGAAACTAAGGGAAGCAACAGTTGCCTTCTAAATTTGTTTGCTTCTAGAACTATTACTTGGAATACTGGAGTATTGCAGAAATGAAAATAGCTGGAGTAAGTTGGAAGTGAGTTAATTAAAAGCTGTGTTTTTGGACGGACACCTCACAAAAGAGGATAGTTGGTCACAAAGCCGGTGGGAGGGCGGGGACAAAAGGGCAGGGAGGGTGACAGCAGTGCTGGTGGACCCCAGGCCACGCCGGCAGGTGGCTCTGGAGTCAGTGTGGGGGCTGGTTGGACAGCAGAGCGGCCTCGCACGACAACTGATGACCCTTCCCTTGGTGGAGCTGCCCTGGGTCTCCATCCCTAGGAAAGAATGAAGTACAAGGTTTTTCGTTAACCCTCGAATAGTCTTCAGCTTCTCGTTGTAGCATTTTTATGAAAGCGGAGGGGCAGCCTGGGTGTCTGACGGTTACACTGTCACAGCTCTTGAAAGGTATCATGCGGCCATAAAAGACGTGACAAGATCTGAGATAGCGAAGAGAAGTACGTTGAGGCGCTGGCCTTAGTTCACCTTGTTACTCTTTGACCTCTCTTTTCTTGCTTCTCTTTTTTTCTGTTGGAAGCTCTGTTTGTCCACCTCCCGGTTACCATCACTTCCTTTAAACACTTCTCCAGATGCGCCTCCTCACGAAGCGTTCTGAGTGCCTTTAGTGTTTTCTCAGGCACTTTTGTGTCTTTTTACGTGCTTCTGGCCTGACCTCCATGTGTTAAGTTCCAGACCCAGAGTTTAAAGGACCCTGCTCTCCTCCGCGAGCTGCGCTTGGGGCTATGCCATGCCGGCAGCATGGCCAGGACCTGCAGCCGTGCGAGGAGCCGGGGACCTGTGGACGGGAAGGTCATCGTCTGCGGCCGTCCCCCTCCTTGCTCCGCGCAGGCTCCTCTGGGCTTCCATGTGTGTTTAGTTGAGTGAGGCTGGCAGCCGATAGTGGCGGTTGCCTGTGGCTTGGGACAGAGAGGGGCAGAGTTTGGGTTCTGCACTGACCAGCCTTGTGGTCTCAGCAGAGTATCTCACGCCTTGGACGTTGGGGTCCTCGTCTACATGGCCGGGTTTGTTCTGGCCTAAACTGCTGTAATTTATATTTTTCACCACTCTAGCATTCACTGTTCAATGAGAACTTCATCCAGAGTCATGTGAACAGAGTTTTAACCTGTATGAAACTGCACGCTGTTGCTGGTGTGGTGCTGACTTGTAGGGCTTTGGGGTTTTACGCTGACGGGGGCTTACGTTTGTGCCTGGCGATGCAGCCTTAGGAGGGCTTGGCAAGGAGGGGGTGTGTGCGTGTCAGGGAGAAAGTGTGCTGTGGTCTGAGAAGTGGAAGGAACCTTCCTGGGGACCCGGCACCTGTTTAGTGACTTTGGGGTGAGCTGGGGCCCCTCTGACATGAATCCCTCACTTGTCAGCTCCCTGTGACAGGCTTGCAGGAGGACGGCAGCCTCGCCCTTTTTAGGCCCCTGGGCTCAGACTGCAGATTTAACCATGCCATAATAAACTACGCTAGCAAGTGACAAATTTGTGTTTCTCCAGCATAAATAGCGAGCAGGGCGTCAGAGCAGCCTGAAGTGACCGGTGCCATCGTGGACTTCCGTGTCCCCCTCATGACGGAAAGTCATTCAGTGGGTTTTGAAATAATAATTGCTGGAAGGCCCTCTTGGATCCTCTGGGAAATCCCCAAAAGTCTGAGCAGAAACGGTTCAGAACACCAAGGTCTAGGAACTACTTAATTGTTGGCGCTGAGAACAGCCACAGTCATTTCTTCTGATGGCGCGTCCTGTTGGGTGTGTGCACCCCTGCCTCACTGTGCTCTAGCTCCCCTTATGCTGCCGGCTCAGCTTTCATGTGCTAGCTCCCCGTTTCTGTCTCTCTGCCTGGGAGTTGTGTTTTCTCCTCTTTTTCTCCTTTTTTCTTTTTAACATTTGCTTTTTTGAGAGAGAGCTCGAGTGAGAGGGGGAGGGAAGGGAGAGAGAGAATCCCAAGCAGGCTCCACACTGTCAGCAGGGAGCCTAACTTGGGGCTCAATCCCGTGAACCATGAGCTGAGATCAAGAGTCAGAGAAACTCAACTGACTGAGCCACCCAGGCACCCCCTCTTCCCCTTTTCTCCTTATTTGTTCCCTCAGTAAACCCTTGCTCCAGACGCTGGTGGCTACTGACTATGAGGTGGTATACACAGCCCTGTGGCCCTCCCTTGTGGGACTGCAGGTCTGGGATTTCAGAGGGATGTGTAGGGTTGTGGACAGAAGTCCTGGGACAAGAGCTGAGGAAAATGGAGTTCGGGAGGGGATGCAGCTGTGGTGCAGATGCGTGGGGACCAGGCTACTGTGAATTCCGACACGGGGAGTTGCCTGGGACCTTGCTGAGCAGCAGGATCTGATATGTGTGGCTGGAGAGCCCGTGTTTCTGGGAGCCCCAGGTGGTCCAGATGCCCCATGCGGAGCAAAGATCTGTGGCCACTGCCCGCATTTCCCACCTTCATTTGCTGCACACTGTGCTTCTTGGGCTAATAGATGCCAGCCCTCCTGACCAAGGTTTGGTAGCGACCTCAGAAATCTTTAGTCTGGCCTTTGAAAGTCTACAGATGTAGAAGGCAGAGTAGAGAGACGGTTACTTCCCCAAGGTGCTCAACCAATAATGGGGTCAGTCCCGAGCTCCGGGATCCCTTGTGGGCAGAAAAACCCCTAATGCTGCTTATAGGAGTGGCTACCGTAAAACCTGGGAACCTTAAAATTCAGCATGCTGGCCTCCCCAGGAGCTGTGCCTAGGTCTGCAGGTGCACCCTGGCCCTCCCGCTGCTCCTGGGTATGACACAGGAAGAGGGGGAGCCATTGGAAGGCCATTAAACCACAACAGCCATCGCCACTCCCAGGTGCCAGAAGCAGGGATCAGGGAATCTGAACCTTGGAGAAGCAGCCTTGGGGGCTAACCTCTCTCTGGAAGGCGAGCACAGAGCCCGGGTTGGCCAGAGACACGTGGCAGAGGACAGAGTGGCTCTGTGTGGAAGGCTGAGTCTTCAGTTCGTTTGCCTCGTCAGCATCCCACCATTTGACTCGGGACTTGGTGGTGTCGGGAGGATCTTGTAACTCGTTCCTGAAGTTGGAAGCTTCTGTTATGGACAAGCAGGCTGGCAGCTGGTTATGGCTGTGGGCGGCCAGGGTGTGTGTGTGCCCATTTGGCCACAGTAGGAAGTCGGTGCCCAGCCTTAGGAACAGCCTCCCGGCTGCCCTGATTCCTGAAGACAGTGTTGTGATTTTGAAAGAGGTGTTCCTTTTTATCAGGAAGGAGAGCAGGGGAGGAAAAAGATCACATCCTTCAGAGCACCCGAAGACACAGATGAGGCTTGCCAGCCAGTGGGGCCCACAACGTTTGCCTCTGAGCTTCTGTGCCAAGCCCTGCACCCCTTGCCCCCCTCTGGGCCCCCTTGCGCCCTTGCCAGAGGGCCTGGCTGCGCAAGTTGGTTTTGTCCAAGAGGGTGTAAGGTGAGAAGAAAATGAGTAAGTGCTTTCCAGTAGGATAGGATGAGTTTCGGTTTATTTCTTTTGTCACTGTGTACCATTCACATTTGTATAAGCGTCAGGTAGTTTTTAGTATCCCGTCTGTTCAACTCAGTTAAAAACCTTGGAGTGTTAAAATCAACCCTGATTTCTTCCACATTTTCCATTATGTCTAACCCAGCACTGAGAGCTCACTGAGGCGCCTCATCAATATTTGATTATTGAGCCGTGCTGCCTGGGTCTGTGTCCTGACACTGACTTCCATGTGACCGTGGACAAGTTAGTGGGCTTTGTGTTTTCATCTAGAAAAGGTAGAGGTCGTGCTGTCTACCTTTGCGATGTGTTCTGAGGATTAGATTATGTGTGCACAGACATGTATTACACCGAGAGGCATGCGTGTTTAGTCCCAGTAACAATACTTAGCACTCAGTAAGCTGACGGAAGTGTTACTGTTTTTACTGTGTTCAGATTACGACTTTGGGTGTTGTGCTGATGTGTTTACCGCAGAGCTACTTCCTGAACAATTTAGGCCCGTGACCAGGCAGTATATGTGTATGCACTCTGCATGGAGCCGGTCAAGAGCTGACCGTCGTCACTAAAACCTGTGTAAACGAATGTGTTCTCTTCAAGGTCTGGAAGATAGCCTTACAAGGACCGTGTTACATGACACTATTAATGATCGCATTTGGCTTGTTATGGGGACACCTTTTACAGATCAGACCCACTCAGAGCGTCTTTATTTCTACGTGCCTGTCCTTATCAAGCACACCCTTAGTGTCCAGATTCCTCGTGGGCAGTGCCCGGGGTGAAAAAGAAGGTAGGTGATAACATGTTCTAAGTATGTGTTGAAGTATTAGGTATTCAACTGGCTTGAATTCACTCCAAAGGCCTCTTAGAAAAAATTGCAACTCTCTCTCCCTCCCTGGGCTTTACTAACAGTCACGGGCCCTCGTGCTGTGTTCACTCAGGAACTGACACCCTCATCAGTTCAGTTGTTCCACATTTCCACTCGATTAAGAAAACAGCTTTTACATGCTCATTAATTTAGGATAGTTGGAGGACCACATTTAAATAAAGAAGAAAATCCACGTTGGAAAGTGCACTGTGGAATTGGTGGTTTAAGGGACGAACGCCGCACTGACCTGAAATCACCAGTTGTCCTCACGGGAGATGACATGGCGTGTGTTGCCTGCGGTGCCGCGAACGGGTGTGTGTTATGTGCAGCCTGAAGTAGAGTGACAGGTGCACTCTGTTCACTGCTTTAACTCTGGCTGTGGTTGGAAACTTACAGACTTTTGGTACCTTTTTCTATAAACTACGTGATGGGTACTTTGGTGGTTGGGAGTATTTTCACCTCTTTGGGCCTAGTTTCATGTCTATACTGGCAACACCAGCCTCTGATTGTTACCGGACCTAGCGAAGCCAGCCTGGGTCAGCAGCTTAGGGACGAACGTCCTGGGCTGACTCATGCTGGCAGCTTCCAGCTTCGACAGTACTGCTGGTTTATATCCTGTGAACTTGTAGTGACCTTCACTGTCTTGCTCTTGTTTTGTGAAAGTCAGTAAAAAGTGGTGAAAACGTCATAGCAGCTTCGTACTGGTATTTGCCCTGCACCAAACACACCACAATGAGAGAAAAATAAGAAAAAGGAAAGCAGAGTGGTGTGGCTGGCTTCTCTGATAAAGCTGACCTTGCTGTACTTGGGGCTGGTCCTGGGGCTGCAGGCTCCTGGCATTGGTGGTGGCCACACGCAGCCCACCCACTGACTGACTGTGGGCCAATGGGCCACGGAAGCAGCCTCCTCGCTTGGAACTGTACTAACTAGTGGTCTCGTCTGTGGGGCCCAGTGTCCCTGTGGCCTGGTGCTTAGGACCACCCCTCACAAAGCCCTAGTGACAGAAGGAGGTGAAGCACCGGCAGTGGTGTAGGAGGATGAAAACAACTGCTTCTGTAAGGACCTGCACACTGGAGTCCAGCATGTGTGAGGAGTGAGGACGTCAGTGGCTGGGAGAGTTCTGTAACAACCCCAACCGTCAGGATGTGAATTCTCCTTGCTTATGGAAAAGTCTAATAACCACAGTGAAATAAGCATGCTTGAAGCACTCAACATAAGTGAAGAATTCATGCCTATTGGATTAGGCACAAGGATAGGACACAGTACACACAGAAAACATGGGAAAGAATGCCAAGAAACAAAGGAATAGTTAAGAGGCTCAGCATATATACAGCAGAAGTCCTGGAAGAATAGAGTGCAGAACATAGCTGCTGACTTTCAGACTTGGAGGAAAATGTGAGCCCTTAGCCTGAACGTTCCACCCCAAAACCGAGCAGGAAAAAGGACAAGAATAAATGTACCCTCGGCACATCCCAGTACAACAGCAGAGCTTCAGGGACGAAGGGGAAGGCTTGACAGCTGTCAGAGAACACAGGTGATCCGTACGCCTCCACCACACCGGGGGCAGACGGGGCCTGTGGAGCCGCGTCTCTGGCGTGCACGCCCAGCAGAGCTGCCAAGAGCAGGCACAGGTGAAGGCGTCGTCAGACACACGTAGGCTTGGCAGCGTGTCTGCCCGTCTGGAACACAGGAGGACCAAGCACCACAGGTTTAATTAACCTTGTACACAAAGTGCCTCATGTATCTTGTGCATGGACTGCTGGAAAAGGAGGGCTTTTTCCACTTTGTGGAGGCCAGGAGGTGCCAAGATGGCAGAGCAGCATGGAAGCTTTGTGCGTTTCTCATCCCTGAAGTGCAGCCAGAGCAACACCAGACCATCTTGCACCTCTAGAAAATCGATCTCAGGATTATCTCAATAATCGGCACAACTTGAACCACAGAACTTGTCAGGTATGTGGTTCAGAGAGGTGAACTAGGGGGAGGGGAGAAGCCGTTGGGGGGGTAGGAAGCTGTTTTTGCTTGTGGGGAGAGAACAGAGACAGCGGGCATAGGTGGGAGAGAGTACAGGAAAAGCACTTTGTAGAAGGCCAGCTGAGAACTTGGGCCTAAGAAGGTAGGAGTGTCTACAGGGTTGCTGGTGGGGAGGCAATGCTCATGTTGAGACACTTGGGCTTTGTAGAAACTGATAATCACAGATGTGCTAAAGTGTGGCACCTGAAGGACCGTTAGAAAATGTACTTTGGGAGAAAAAGGCTTTGACTTATAACGGCCATGACAAATAATGTGGGAATAAATCTTTGAAGAGATGTGTGTGACCTTGGAGGACAGAAGTACAAAATGTTATCGAAGAGAGAGCCTGTGTTCATGATGAAGAGACTCAATACATAAAGATGCGGTTTCTCCTGAGTCTATAAACTCCCAACTATCCCAGTAAAAAATCTGGCAGGGTTTTTCATGAAATTTGGCAAACTGCTCCTGAAGTTTATTTTAAGAACAAAGGCCAAGAATAGCTAGTGTCAGTTTGAAGTGAGGTGCTTCCACATCAGACGGCAGGCCCTGCGGTCCTGTCCCTGTGCTTGGGTGGTGCGGTGTGTCTGGGCCAGATGGGGCAGGAGACGATGGACAGGCGGACACGAGCAGGGTGCATGTGGCTGGGGTGGGTGGGAGTTAGTCCTTGGAGTCCTCCCTTGAGCCGCACACAGAAACCAGCCCCACACAGATTGAACAGCTCAGTGTGTTGGGCAGAACTTCAGAGCCTGCTATGGAGAAATATGGGTGACCTTAGGGCAGAGAGGATTTCTGGAAGCGAGATGCAGAATCCAAAGGAAAAAGTGTTGATAAACCCGAACACGTGGAACTTTAACTTTTACTTAAGAGGTATCTTTAGAAGTTGCAAACTAGAAGACATGTGCTATGTATATAAAATGTGCAAGAAGTAGTACTTAGAATGCATCAAGAGTTTTAAGAAGAATCAAAACGGAAGGAAACCCGCTGGAAAATAGAACTTCTTCCCAATGGAGAACTTATGGAAGAGGAGGCGTGCACGCTACGTGAACATGGAGAAATGCCGGCCTCGCTAGCGAATCGGGACGTGCAGGTGCAGACCTGTCCTCCCATGAGCCAGCCAGGTGTCTCGCCGGACCTGCCCCATGTCGGCATCAGTGCAAGCGCTCATGGGTGCTCAGTGGGAGCGTGAGCTGGTTTGGTCACTTTGGGGAACAGTTCCACAAACAAAGATGTCCATTTCTAGAGATATGTCCTAGAAAACTTCAAATGTGAAAGAATACTCAAAGTACTTATTTTTGATAGCAAAAAATTTTAAGTAATCTGAGCATTTAGTAATCCAACGAATAATTAAATTATGGTGTGTCCATATACTGGAATACTGCAGAGGTAAAAATGAATTAATCTTACACTATGGAGGGAGAAATAGAAGATACAGAGGACATCTGGTCTGATATAATTTACATAAACTTTGAAACTGTGCAAAGCTGCGTCCTCACAAACCTGCACACTGAGAGCATTTGGAAGTGCCTGAGGATGACACCCCTGCCCCTCTTCATATGTGGGTTTATTGTTGCCCCAGTTCTCCTTTTCTGTTCCTCAGGGTTCCGGCCAGTACATTGGATAGTGGGGCCCAGACCCTCAAAGGGGTCAGTAAATAGCTCCAGCCTTCCATGGCCATGCTCAGAACCCATATAGCCATGAAGGGGACAGGCGGCTGGAGGTCACGGTAGCAACTTGATTATGATGAAAGATGACAATGGAAGATGTGGCTGTGGTGGCCTTCAGTACGTATCCTCCAATGCAGCATGGACCCACAGAAGCCTCCTCTAGAAAACACAGGCCTGCAAGAGACTGCCATGCTGTGACCTCACCATCCCCTTGCCCAGGTGGAGACTCTCATCTGTAGAGTAGGGTGGGCAAGGTGGGGCACGGGGCCAGGGTGGAGGCCATGAGTGGTGAGGGGGAGTCTCTCCTGGTGAGAACACAAGCAAGGGAAGGGGGTGTGTCCAGCAAATGTGCTAGAATGTTCATTATAGCATGCTTGTAGTAATGGAAAGATTAAAAACCTAAGTGCCTAACATCAGGGAATGGGTAAATTGCTGTATTCTACAGCAGTTTTAAAAAGAGATCTTTGTGCATCAACACAGATAATTTTCAGACATAATGGTAAGCAAAAACGAAAGCAAGTTGCAGAAATATGGATTAAGTTATAAAAAGTTTATAATTACAAAATAACAAACTCAGTGTTGTTCCCAGATACATAGCTGTTATTTTGTTAAAAGTAGAAAACCACTCAAGAGAATAAAAAACATGGAACCTAAGGCAGTGATTGGGGGTGTGGCGGGGGGTCCAGCCGCAGGTGGCGGGCTCATGGTACCTGCATTGTCCAGTATCTTCCTTCCCAAAAATCTGAAGTCAGGGTCTCAAAGGTTTAAGATTTAGCAAAACACAATAGTGGGTATGTGGATATTTGTTATATTTTTTATTTTCCATATGTTTAAGGTATTTAATAAAACAGATGGAAAACAAAAAATTTTAAATGCTTATAGTAGTGGTAAGCACAAAGATTAAACTTAGTGTAAAGTGCAGATGAAAAATATTAAAAGTTCTATCTTTAATTTTTAACAGTTCAGTCTAATTCTTAAATTTTTTTAATGTTCATTTATTTTTGAGAGAGAGAGAGAGAGAGAGAGAGAGAACGAGTGGGGGAGGGGCAGAGAGAGAGGGAGAGAATCCCAAGCAGGCTCCCGGCTGTCAGCATAAAACCTGACGTGGGGCTCGAACCCACGAGCCGTGAGGTCGTGACCTGAGCCACAGTCGGCTGCTTAACTGACTGAGCCACCCAGGCTCCCCAGGCAAAGTAATTCTTTCGCCTCTGTGTTCACTGTACTGTTTCCTTTTACATCAGTTGCTGTGGTTAGTCTTTCCCCTCCAGCCTCAGTGAGCTGCTGCTCTGCACTTGCTCCCTGAGTGCTCCCTGTGGACTGGGCCATGCTGGGGGCGCCCCCCTCTGTTCGTGCTGCCCCCCATCTGCTGGTAGATAGTTGATGCCCGCCCAGTTAAGACCGCTGTGATCTGGTGAAAGGCAAAGAGCAGGATTTTAAAAACATTTACAAAATGCTGGCAGTGTATCAGTAAATGCTGTTTTGAAAAAGTAACGTGTGACTGGAATTAGCGTCTCCTCTAAGTCCGGAAGAGGCACCATCACGGGCGCAGGGCTCAAGTGTGTTCACCTCGTGTGAGGACTTGGGGAGGAAGACCGCGGTGTGACTGCGAGCACAGGACCTGGCACGCTTCCTGGGATCGGGACAGGAGAATCACAGTCAGGAACCCATGGAGGGCTTTGTTGAAAATGATGGGTTTTTGAAGTGTCCCACTCACCCATTATTAGTGTGGGGAATTCTTCTTCACTTTTAAGTTGTAAAGCTTTAGCCGCAGCAACCTCATGGCGCTATCCACTTAGAATGTTTTAAAATTCTAAGCCAAAAACAAATAAATAAATCAAATTCTAAAGCCTGGATACTTTATTCACCAAAAATTTAACTTTGGTAAGTAAGACAAGCTTCCTAGAAGGAGTACCTAAACTTCTAACAATTGTGATTTTTGCTGGTGATGAAAGATTTTGATTTTATTTGATTAGCTTATTCTTTTTCTTTTCTGTAAGATTACTCTTATCAGATTAGCCTTTAAATATCTGTTACTGTCAGTTGCTTTTTTTTCTTTTTTAAGAAAACAAAAATAGCTTATTTTATGGGGGAACATGACAGTTATAAGTTTGGTCCAAAGCCAGAACTGTTGGTTGGAAATGGAGACACCGAACACCTGTGTGACGCGTGGAGTTCGGGAAAATGGTACCCATTTCCGGTTGCCTTTGTGGATGAGCCACATGGTCCCTTCGGGCAGCCCTGGCTACTGCCTTCTGTCCTGTCCACCTGATGAGCCTCTGCATTTGTGTCAGTGACAGACGCTCACTGTGGCCATGATGGTGGGCTGGAGGGAAGGCGACCTGTCAGCTGGGTCAGCCAGCAGGTGCGACCAGAAGGGGGGTAGGATTAGGTCTCCTGAAGCGCTTAGGGGAGAGAGAAAGACTGGCGTGAAGGCTGTTTCCTGTATTCTGGGGACACACAGTGACATTGACCTGCTTATCCAGGCTCACCATACTCTTGTGCCTCGTGCTATCTTTACACGATGGCGTTTTTTCTTTAAGTGTGTTAGTAACAAGTGCTGGAAATATCCTGGAAGTTTTCTTTACAAAAAGTTTTTCATGTTGAAGATGTTTCAGTGTTTGCCCTCAAAGAGATTCTAAAGTCTGTATTCTCTTTAAGTGGCAGAAGTTGAATTATATCGGAAATGTGCCTAATGACCGTATTTTGACGTGGGACACTTTAAGTTACTGTAAACGTGTGCCATTGACACATTCTTCCTCAAGCAGGTGACGTCGACTACAGCGCGGTGCTGCTTGGGATGCTCGTAGTGCAGGACGTGCAGCTGGGCCTGTTCATAGCCGGCCTGCCCACCCTCATCCAGGCCGGGACCGGTGCCTACTCCAGGTAACCACGCTGCTCCTTCCTCCCCGCTCGGTTTCCAGCTTCCCGCCGTCCGCTGACGAAAATGCGGTGTAATACCGTCTCCCGAAGAGATGCTTAGAGCTTGTCCGGCGCAGGCAGAGAGCGTGGTCTCTGGGGTCACGCCGCCTGGGCTCAGGCTCCAGCTCTGTCAACCTTGGGCAAATTCCTTAACCTCACTCTGCCTCAGTGTTGTCATCTAGAAAGTGGGGATGGTGTTACTCCCTAACAGGTTAGTTAGGATTAAATGGGCTAAAATCTAAAAGTGCTCAGAATGGTGCCTGGAACATACTGTGTGTGAGTGTGTGTGAGGTCGTGTGAGATTGTCTGACCACGTGCGTGATTGTGCGCGCGTGCATGCCATCATCGTGGGGACCATTGTTGTGAGTGTCTCCGTTACCATTTCCTCTTTTCCTTATCTCAATGAAACAATCCCCCAAACCCGAACGGCACTTGCTACGTTCATGTGGAGGGAAGTCAAATTGAAAAGTGGAAGAATAAGTTCGCCCAGAAAGTCCTAGGTTATGCTGTACACACTGTTACCAGAACGCCAGCCCGAAAATAAATCCCTTGGAAAATGTAAGGAGCCCCATAAAATTTAAAGGTAAATTGCATGCGAGTTAGGACTGTAAGCTTGAGTTTGTTTTAATAAGCAAATAGGCAATATGTTGTGCTTTAAGTATTTCCAGACGCTGCATTTACTTCACGTCTCACAGTGATGATGCTATAACTTACAAATTAGTAGACTTTTTTGAAATTTCTTTGGGAACCACTTTGAAATTCTGAGATCTGTCGCTTATTTCTTCTTTCTCTATATGCCTTTTATCTGTTCTTCTTGCCTTGTTGCGCTGGTTAGAATTTCCAGTACTTCAATGAGTGAGATTATGTGCGTAGATGTTCCTGCCTTCTTCCTCATCTGAAACAGAAAGCATCCATTCTTTCACCGTCAAATGCAGTGTTAACTGTTGGGTTTTTATTACTTTTAGGAAGTTACCTTCTAATCTCAGTTTGCTAAGAGTTTTTATTGTGAGTACACATTGGGTTTTGTCAACCGCTTTTTCTGCATCTCTTGGTATGATTGTGTGGTTTTTCTTCTTTAGCTGTTTGACGTGGTAGATTACGTTGATTGATTTTTGGAAGTCAAGCCAGCCTTACATAGGTAGAATGAATCCTACTTGGTTGCGGTATATAATTCTTTTTATACATTGTTGCCTCCAATTAGCTAATGTTTTGTTGAGGAGTTTTGGGTCTGAGTTCATGAGAGAGAATGGTGTGTAGCTTTCTTTTATGGTATTCTCAATTTCTGGTTTTGGTGTTAGGGTAATACTAGGTTCATAACATGATTTGGGAAGTGTTTCTCCTTTTTCTTTTTCTGGAAAACATTGCATCAAACTGCCGTTAATTCTTCCTTAAATATTTGGTAGAATTCTCCAGTGAAACTATCTGGGCCTTGAGATTTCTTTGGGGGGATTTTTGCTAAGTTACAAATTCAGTTTGCTTAATGGTTATGAGGCTATTCAAATTATCTACAAATTATCTGCATATTGTTGAGTTGTGGTAGCTTGGTTTTTCAAAGAATGGGTCCATCCCATTTCACATGTGGAGGTTACATGTGCAGACTTGGTTATAGTATATCCCATCATCTTTTGATGTCTGTAGGGTCTGCAGTAATGTTTCCTGTGTTGCTCCTGATGCTGGTAACTTGTGCTTTCTCTCTCTGTCAATCTTTCTAGAGGGTTGGCAGTTATTTTAATTTCTTCAAAGACCAGCTTTTGTTTCATTGGCTTTTTTCTTTTTTTATATATGTATAACAAATTTAATGTTTGTTTATATTTGAGAGAGAGAGAGAGAACAAGCAGGGCAGGGGCAGGGAGAGAGAAACACAGAATCTGAAACAGGCTCCAGGCTCTGAGCTGTCAGCACAGAGCCTGATGCGGGGCTCCAACTCGCAGACTGCGAGATCATGACCCAAGTTGAAGTCGGACGCTCAACCGATTGAGCCGCCCGGACGCCCCGTCTTTGTTTTTCTGTTTTTAATTTCTTTGGTTTCTATCCTTCTGGCTTTTTCTCCTGTTTGTTTTGGCTGTTATTTTTCTAGGTTCTTGTGCTGTGAATGTAGCTTATTGACTTGAAACCTTTCTTCTTTTCTAGTGTGTTTAGTGCCACACGTTTCCCTTGCAGCACTGTCTTAGCTGCATCTTGTTTCTTTTGGTATGTTGTATTTTTACTTTCATTTAGTTCAGTTAATTTAAAACGTTTCCTTTGAAGCTTCCTCTTTGATCTATGGATCGTTTAGAAGTCTGTTGCTCAGTTTCCAAGTGTTTGTGGAGATTTACCTGTTGTCTTTCTGTCATTGGTTTCTGGTTTGATTCCACTCTGGTCACAGAACAAGCACACTTTGTTTTTGTCTTTTGTTTTTAATTTTAATTTTTATTTATTTTTGGGAGAGAGAGAGATCGGGAGGGGCAGAGAGAGAGAATCTCAAACAGGCTCCACACTGTCAGCGCAGAGCCTGATGTGGGACTCAAACTCACGAACCGTGAGATCATGACCTGAGCTGAAGATGTTTAACTGACTGAGCCACCCAGAACAAACACATTTTGTATGATTTTAGTTTCATTAAGTTTGTTGAGGTTTGTCTTGTGGCCTCAGGTACGGTCTGTGTAAGTGCTCCAAAGGCCCTTATTCTGATGTTGAGTGGAGTGTTTTATGTCAGACCCTGTTTGTTCATGGCATTGTTCAGTTTTTCTGTGTTCTTGCTGGAGAAGGTGGTTATTGACGTCCCTAATTATAATTGCTAATTTGCCGATTTCTCCTTCTAGCTCTGTCAGCTCTTGATTTATATATTTTGGTGCTCTCTTATGTGGTGCATACACATTTAGGAACATTTTGTTTTCCTGGTGGATTGACCTGGTTATCATTACGTAATAGCTCTTTTGTTTCTAGTAATTTTCCTTATTCTGGAATTTACTTTATCTGCTGTTAATATAGTCTTTCCTACTTGTTTTTTTTTTCAATATATGAAATTTATTGTCAAATTGGTTCCCATACAACACCCAGTGCTCATCCCAAAAAGGTGCCCTCCTCAATACCCATCACCCAACCTCCTCCTCTCACCCTCCCACACCAACCTCAGTTTACCTCAGTTTTAAGAGTCTTTATGCTTTGACTCTCTCCCACTCTAACCTCTTTTTTTTTTTTTTTTTTTTTTTTTCTTTTCCCCATGTGGCTTTCTGTTAGCATTTCTCAGGATCCACATAAGAGGAAAACATATGGTATCTGTCTTTCTCTGTATGGTTTATTTCGCTTAGCATCACACTCCCTCCAGTTCCATCCATCGCTGTTACAAAGAGCCATGCCATTCTTTTTCATTACTTAGTACTTCCATTGTGTATATAACCACAATTTTATCTCATTCATCAGTTGATGGACATTTAGGCTTCCACAATTTGCCATGTTAGGAGTGCTATGGTGTAAACATTGGGGGTACAAGTGCCCCTATGCATCAGTACTCCTGTATCCCTTTTAAAATTCCCAGTAGTGCTAGCATGGGCCTAGGTAGGTCTATTTTACTCTTTTCAGGAACTCTCCACTGTTTTCCAGTGGCTGCACCAGTTTTTGTATTCACCACGCAAGCAGGTGTGTTCTCAAGCCTCACATTCCTCCTCCCACCCCTTCCCAGCATCATAGTTCTCCCTGATTGGAGCCCATTTTGGGCTACTTGACTGAGTGAGGATATCGAGTGTGGTTTTGATTTTGTATTTCCCTGATAAGGAGCTTATGTTGAAAGCATCTTTTTCATGTGCCTGTTGGCCATCCGGATGTCTTCTTTAGAGAAGTGTCTATTCATGTTTTCTGCCCATTTCTTCACTGGGTTATTTGTTTTTCGGGTGTGGAGTTTGGTGAGCTCTTTATAGATTTTGGATACTAGCCCTTTGTCCGACCTACTTGTTTTTTATTAATGTCTAAAATGGTCTGTCTTTTCCATATTTTAAAACTTTCAGTCTGTTTATTCCATTGTATTTGAATGAGTTTCTCAATAGATAAGGTATTGTTGGATTGTTGGATGATTTTTTTAATGTTTATTTTGAGAGTGCGTGCACATGAGTGTGGGATGGGGGGGGGGGTGGCAGAGAGTGAGAGACAGAGAATCCCAAACAGGCTCCATGGGGTCAGCATAGAGCCCGACGTGGGGCTTGATCCCACAAACTAGGAGATCATGACTTGAGCCGAAATCAAGAGTCAGACACTCAACTGACTGAGCCACCCAGGCACCCTGGATGCTGTTTTTTTAATCCATTCGGTCAATATATCTTAATTAGCGTTGAGACCATTTACATTTATGGTAAATGTTGATATGTCAGGACCTAAGTCTCTCATTTTGTTATTTTCTGTTTCTTGTTTCTCTATTACATTTTTCTTACCCCCTGATGGGTCACTTGCATAATTTTGAGGACCCGGTGTAGTTATCTCAGCAGCTACTCCAGGCTCTGCAGTGCATGCGGTGCTGAGGTTAGCTCCCGGCTGTCAGTGCTTGACTGCTTGTGACACGTAGGAGCCTTACTTCCCTTTAGTTCCCTTGCCTCTCCCTTCTTTTTAAGTATAATTGTTGTGTGTTCTCTATTTGTCTGAGCACCAGATTAGTGTGTTTATTAACTTTGCTTCTGATCACATAGGATTGTTTTAATTCATCAGGGTTACCTATTTTATTTTTATCCATTCCGTTGTTCTTACTTGCTTTCTCAAGATTTCTTCTCTTATAATTTCCTTTCTGCAGGGGCTTTCTTTGCTCATTCTTCCTTTTTTAATTTTTTTTTTAATGTTTATTTATTTTTGAGAGAGACAGAGACAGAGTGTGAGCAGGGAAGGGGCAGAGAGAAAGGGAGGCAGAATCCGGAGCAGGCTCTAGGCTCTGAGCTGTCAGCACAGAGCCCGACGCGGGGCTTGAACCCACAAACCGCGAGATCACGCCCTGAGTCAAAGTT